AAAATTATTTTTACTAATATACTCCTAAATGACTTCACTGCTGGAAAAAAAAAAAAGAATGAAAACAGGAAGTACACAAAAATTATTTTCTAATTTAAAACCAGAAATAAAATCCAAAATATCAATGGATTTAAGTAAACTAGATTCGGTGACTATGGCTAAGAAAAGAGTACAAAATAGCCGGGCAATCCCAACTGCTTTGCCAGGCTGGCGAGGTGACCTGGGATTATTCACGTCTTGTTCAAATTCACACACATCATCCCTACCCCAGGCCAGATTACCCACACTCACACTACAGCAAGTATGGTGAAAATATGATGGCTTATAAATTCTTGTGACTTCTTTCTCCCTGGTTTTCCTTTAAGCCATCCTCCTTCTAAGCCTTGACTTTGTATTTGTCCAGTCCCTGCACCACCCCAAATATCTGGTTCAACGACACAGTTTGAAAATTGTTTTTCTCAGCAGATTTCAAGTGAAAATAAAATAGTGATTGTAAACGAAAAATAATTCTGGGAAGGAAAACAAACTACTGGATATTCACAAAATATAATTCCCTCTAATATTATTCACAGAATTCAATTTTCATAATAATTTTAATGTAAGCATACTTTAAAGATTGACAAGAAGGATGCCATACCTCCAGAAAAAAGTTAACCAAGTAGGGATTTTGTTTCAGTTTGGCACATACGATACAGAGAAACTGAATTTCTTCATTTTCCGTTGGTGTTGCAAGGACTTCACCGCAGAGTCGAATTAATTTCTGTCAAAAAAAATTGTTTTAATGTTTTTAGTTACTTTTTTAAGTATGTAAATAGCCATCCATATATCTTAAAGATATTTACATTTTTCAAATAATGCAAATACCTTGCATTATTCAGATAAAACACTATTTACAATCACCTATATCAAAATTAATTTACTAATAGTAAATTTTTCAAATATATTACCCTAAAAAAATAATGAGGCATCTAATAAACTAAACTCTCCTTGAGATATCACAGGGATAAGTTAAAGGAAAAACATATAAGACTTTAAAAGAGAAATATAAAGACATGAAGTACATTTAATACAGTGTCATGCATAAAGAAAGCTCCATATCTGCTTATTTGCGTGTTATTTTTAGGAAAATTTCCTTTATTATTTTTACTCTTAAGAAATCATATACAATTATTTCCATACTGAAAGAAATTAAACCAAATAATTTTATGTAACGGGAACAAAATACCTGCACTGGCCTGTATACATTAATGTGTGGAAGCAGCGGCTGCCGGATTCTTCCCAGAAGCTTAGTATAGAATACTAACACCTGCTGTTTCATCCCTGGAGGACACTGAGCAGGGGAAAAAAAAAGAAAGCAAAACAGAACAGACAATACAAACACACTTACTCAAAAACTTAAAAAGTAGGAGATAATGTATGTGAATGTATCCCACCCTCAAAAGTCAAAGCAATTAGCCAATTAATGACTTTGTCAGAATAAAATTTTCAATGAAATATTAATGACTGGTATTCTAGAAATAAAACTACACCTGGGACTATAATAAAGCATATGGGACCCTAGGCTGATGAAATTACAGCCAGCATGGTGATAATGTGCTGCTGAGCTTAGAGTTTGGTTCAGGCAACGCCAACCTGTTCATATTCTCAATGCTAGGGTAATGTGAAACTTTTACAGTTAATTCCTTGGCCAAAGTAAAGGCAGAATCTTGTTACTCATACTAATGACAGGTAATCAGTAACTTTCTATCACATATATGTAAAAGCCTTCTAATACAATATGTAAATAAAAGGATCTCTATGGTATAAACTGCTTTCAGTCTCATAAAACTTTTAAATTGGTTGCAAAATTATTTACATTATTCTAGGCAATGAATATTTAATTAATAAATCTTTATAGCATGACAGTTGTCTTAAATATTTGCTAAACAGTAGTAAAACTGACGATTACCCACGCGGTAGATAAAGACTATGAATTAACAAGGTTAAACAAGGTTAATGTGTTCTACTACTAACCTACTTGTACTGCTTCACATTTACAATATAGTCACAAAATAATTTATTTCCAAAGCATCAGCATAGACATGTTATCTGGAAATAAAATTTTTTAAAGACTGCCAACACCTTGCATTATTCAACTAAAACATTAATAGCTGCAATCACCTATAACAAAATAAATTTATAGTAGTACAATTATTAACATTTGCTCAAAGATGATTATTTTTTCAATTTAGTGTTGTACAATCCCTCTCTTCAATGGACAGGAAAAAGAAGGAAGGGAATGAACTGCAGGGTATTAGGGAGCAGATATGCTGTCTAGAGAATATAAATTGCATGAATTTAACTTGAAAATGAGATGGAGTCTTACAGATTTACTTAAAGGAAACTACCTTTAATACTACACTATTCATAACTCAATTTGGTGTTTAAACAAATTAGTTTGGGTTTTTTTTTGGTTAATTTTCATGTATATTATAGAAAGTCACAGAACAGAAGCATAGATTTTAGAGTTGGGGAAGGCCACTTGAGGATCACCTCCTTGTCTGTAAGGTGGGGGGGAAGAGGAACCAGAGAGACCTGCTGAAGGTCACGGTGTAGTAGTGACAAAGCCAGGCCTCGGGACCTGAAGCCCGAGCTCCCCTTCCTCCACACCACCACATGGTTGAAACCTGACTTTAGAAGTAATTTGAAAGTTCTGCAGTACAGAATATTATTTACATATTATCAGTTTGGTAAAGATTTCTCAAGATTAATTCAGCCTAAGAACTTGAATTGGCTCCACTCATCAGAAATGTCAGAATAATCAGTAACATTCTCTTTCAGGATAATGAAAAATAATTCCTATTTTTGCAACCCAATTTTCACTGGGCTCCTTTTCATTTCCTTTGATTCTGAGTACATACACTTGAGTTTATTTTCATAAATGTTTACACTGTCATTTTAAGCAGCCTAAGCACTGTTGTTGCCTAGAGCACTGGGAGCTTTGCTATCTCTGGAAGGTCATATCTATATAGGCTACACAGTTTTCTTTTTTTTTAACTATATTGACTTGAATCCTGTCATGCTTAATGCATGCCTCTATAATTAAATTTAGTACCTGGAAGAGTCTTTATCTCTAAGACATTAATGCATGTATTATATGCCCAAGAACATGATATGTAGGAACTTACATCAGCTTTTCCTAAGGTATATAATGTTTCTAAGATCTTGTGATGAAGTAAATATTCCATACATGGCCCGGTTTCTCCAAATTCTCGTTCATTTTCTTCTTGTAGCAATATATCTAACATCTGTTCCAGATGAGATGGAATATTTGTATCTGTCACTGGGGCTTTATCATCTAAACAATAAAAAAACATCAAACATTCAAATATTTTTAAACTGTGTTTAAAATATTTGAAACATATTTGCACCTAAAATACTCTTTGTATTTCCCTATTCTTACTCCAACTGAAAAAATCTTAAGTACACACTTCAGTGAGGTTTGTACTCACTGTATAATTATCTTTGCTAGAATTTGGATGATGCTTTTCACCATATTCTTATTCAAAACTGAATCAATATTCCAAAATACATTCTATAAGCTAGTATTTATGCATAATTCAGAAATGAGAGCCATTTATATGGGAAATGGGCACATGATCTGGAAAAATACAGATAACATCAGAATTTTGTATGCACTTGAAATTAAAAAAAGTTTTTCGCAATTAGCCAGTTCAGAAGATCTGAATTTTAAGTCTCTTTATACAGAAACAGGTTGGCCTTGAACATTAAACTGAAAAATGTAGGATATGTGGAGAGGACATGTTCTGTTTTTGATTGCTGCTGTGTTACTTCTTAACATTGAGAAGTCAGACACTTAATGCCCCTCATTCATCTCCATCAATGAAAACATGAGGAGCTCAAAGAAAAACTCTCTATTAAAAATTGCTGACCTCTCCTTTGGTTAACAGAATCAAAGCTGCTTCTCAGGAGAATTTTTATTAAATATTATTGATTTTTTAAAATAAAAATTCATTGATACTGCAGTTAGACTTGAAAATAATATGGTTTTATCAACCTATCTTTGTTGTATAAGAGTTAAATTACTCTTAACAAAATGTGCATGTTTAAATACAAAATGTATTTGGAAATGCCAAGATCTTAGTTATGTCTCTATGGCCACTTACTTGGTACTTCTTTAGTTTGTAAAACACAATCTTGATATGCTATGTATTTCATGATATATGCCTTTGTATACACATGTATGTACACACACACAGTACAAACCATAATACTGTTTTACAGAGAAAACAACAGAAAGGGTCACCCTTATAGGTCCACCCAGGACATATGTATCAAATCTGATACAGTATGGGAGGGTTGTTAAAAGCTGCAACCTGGAGTGACACTTGGATCCAAATCTGGGCTCTGTCACTTTTAGTTGGATGACTTGAATAAATAACTTAAGCCTCAGTTACCAACATGCATAAAATGGAGCTAATAAACACTAGTAAATACTGTTGTATGATTTCAGTGAAACAATGTGTATAAAACCCAGTGCTTTAGCATATAGTAAGAATTCAAGAAATGGTAACTTAGGTCATCTCATTTCATATTCTTCTAAAATGAGTAGTCTAGTGCTTATAAAAGATAATTTGCAAGTTCATTTCAAACTTAGTTTTTTAGAATTTTTTCCCTATAATTGAAAACTTTATATAGACATTCCAAGATAAAATGTTCAATCATGGTTTGATTATAGTTATTTATGGAGAAAAATGATAAGACTTTTAAAATTGAGAAATAAATGAACTGTAAATCTGATTTGTCAGACTTAAAATCCTAGCTCCCTAAAAGACAAGATCTAGTTTCTGCCATCCACTCTCATCATTCCTAAGATAGATTTAGATCTCTATGCCTTTACATATGCTATTCATTCTACCTGAAATGTCTTTGCCCTCCTTAGCTACTTCATAAACTCCTACTTAACCTTCAAAATCCAGGTCAGACACTGCCTCCTTGTTCACCTTTTTTGTTCTCCCAACGTGCCTGACACAGACTTCTTTGTCCCATTCTTTATTGTAATGTATGCACTTACTTCTGCTAGTAGATTACAAAAAATTATTTAAAGCAAGAACTTAAAGCCTTTCCTTCAAAGCATTTCCTTAAAGCCATGCCAGGGTAAAAAATTCACATGGGCTAAGAAGTATCTTTTGAAAAGGCAGCTCCTCTCAAAAATCTTTTTTGTAGATCTGTTGTCTAAATATACAAATTTAGAAATTATATTTTGCATTTAAAGTTTTATTTATATATATATAAAGGACACATGTCCAACCTGCATATGCACTAGTGTTTACCTATACATTCCTCAAGACACTCACAGCGCTATGTGGCAATGCTCTTGTATTTCTCTATTTCAGGGGGTTGCCAAATTGGCTGTAGGAAACCAATCCAGTGCTGCCTTCTATTTTCATAAATACATTTGTATTGAAACAATGGAATGCTATTCTTTTACGTATCGCTGCTGGCTGCTTTTACACCACAGTAGCAGAACCTAGTAGTTACAACAGAAACTGCATAGCCCACAAAGCCTAAAATATTTACCATCTGGCCCTTTACAAAAAAGTTTGCCAACCTTTGACCTAATTTATTCCCATTCCCTAATATTCTCTAAGAAAAACAGAAGCAACCTGAAGATGACTTCCAAAGACTCCCTATACCACATCTACCCTCTTCCTGAATCTATACCCATATACTCTGCTTCCTACCTTACTTTTATGAACAGTCTACATGCCCAGTAAGGTTAGATCCCACCCCCTTCTCTACTTAAGGATAATGCTCAGAAATGATCTCATCTGACTCTTAATATCCACCTTTCTCCTTCTACTATATCATTCCCATTGAGGTACAAATTGCACTATCTTCCATCTTTCAAACAAATTTTAAAACTCATTCTTGACACCGTATCTCCCTCCGGCTATTGCTCCACTTCTCAGCTCCCATTTACATTAACATAAGAGAGCAGTGCATACACATTGTCTATACATGTTCTCTTAAACTTACTCTAATCAGATCTTCTTTTTCTTCCTGCTATTAAAACAACCCTTATCAAGACCACCAATGAGCTGCTTGCAGGTAAATGCAATGGTTCACCCTTGGTCTTCATAAATTTTACATCACCAACATCTGACACAACTAATCCCTCTCTCCTCTTCTTCTAGCATCCGGGATACCTTTTTCTGTTTGCTGTCTTCTACCCCGCTGGTAACAGCAGTTTCCTTTGCTATTGTTCTCATCTTTCCAACCTTTCAACATTAATGGCAAGGACTCAGTTCCTGAATGCCTTCTCTCTTCCATGTATCCTTACTCCCCAGATAATCTCACTAGTCTAGTGGCTTTAAATCCTACTTACATGTAATAACTCTCAATTTTCTATCTCTAGTTTAGACTCTGACTCCACATTCCAGATTCCTATTTCCAACTGTCTACTTGACAAATCCAGCTGTATATACACTTGGTGTCTCAAATTTAACTTGCCCTCAAACTTAAGTGCTCTTACAAATCTGTTCCTTCTGCTCTCCCCATATGTAGTAAGTGGCCTTTCCATTTTTCCAATTGCCTAAGCCCAAAACTTTGGAGTTTCCTTGACTCTTATTCTCTCATTCCCAACATCCAGCCCATCAACAAAGCTTCCTTCAAAATACACCCAGAATCACTTACCACCTCCATCCTGGTCTAAGCCACCATCATATCTCAGACCATTGCAACCTCCTTCAAGTGTTTGTTCTACCACCTTCACCTTGACATCCCTTCAATCTAATTTCTTCACAGAAGCCAACGTGAATCCCCTTACAACAGATTATGTTACATCTCTGCTCAAAGCAACCTAATGTCTTCCCACCTTAGAGTAAAAGCCAAAGCCCTGGGAATGGCTTACCAGGCCCTGTGTGACCTTCACCCACCACGACCTGTCTGATGTCACCTCCTCCTTCACTTTGTTTTAGCCACACTGGCTTCCTTGTAGTTCCTAGAATATGCCAAGCATGTCCAGTGCTCCAGCCTCAGGGTTTCTGGGAACCTTTTCCCCAGAGGCCCACCCCCCACCCTCTCCACCCAGGTTGCTTCCTCACTCCTTCAGATTTCAGCTACGAAGTCACCTTAGGAAATGACACTTTCTCTAACCTAAAATAGCCAACCGGCCTGCTCCCCCAAGGACACTTTAGCCACCTCTACCTGCTTCATTTTCTCCTTAACACTTATTATCTGATACACTACATGTATTTGTCTATTGTTTGCTTCCCCCCAGTCAATATGTAAGCTCTGTTGGGACAAGGATTTGATCTGATTTAGTGTTTTATCCCCCTAGAACAATGCCTACACATAACAGGAGCTCAATAGATAGGACAATACCTACACATAGATAGGTGCTCAAAAATAAAAAAAATACATATTTTTTATGAATTTAAAAGAGAAGTTAAAGGTAAAATAAATTGTTTATAAATTTAAAGTAACTGAAAAGTAGTTTGAAATATGTTTTAGCATTTCACAAATTTTCTGTTTAATATAAGCATAGTTTCTTACCTGCAGTCTCTATGTAGTAATGGGTAACTGCCTTCCAGTGATAAACAAAATCTTCTTGCAAAGGAAGAGAAGGTGCAAGCTACACAAACACACACACAAAAGGACCACGACAATTAAGAAACTGGCATAAAAGTTTCCAACAAGTATAACTCTGTATTTGTCTAAAAATGCAAAAACAGTATAAAAATAAGAGGTGACTTTTAATTTGAATTCATACATCAGCTAACAAAGAGAAACAAACTAAGTCACATCCAAGAAAGCAAAATTGATTTATTAAGAAAGAAGAAAAACACATTTATCAACATTACTATTAAACTATTGTACTGGGTTTTTTTCCTCTCCTGAAACACATGGCTTCAAAAGTAACAGTTAAATGAAAACACACAATATTCTATTTAAAGTATCAGCAAAATGAAATTATAGATAATCAGGGATCTTTGTACCTAGGACTTTGAAATGCAAAACAGTAAAAAGCCGCTAGGCAATCAGTTACACATCACCACTAGGAAAACACATACCAAAGTCAACTCCGTAATCAGATTAAAACCGGTCCCTACTTTCTGTGACATACAGGTGTAAATCTTTTCTTTTTTAAGCTTGGATTACACAGTGCATATTTTTAGCAAAATATCTATGTGAACAAGACACTACCCATTTAAATTCCACAAAGCCAAAACCGTTGTACATTTTAGCTTTGAAATTTACCTCAGAAATTTTAAGACCAAAATTATATCCCTCAGCCGTCTCATAGCAAACCTGCAAGTATTTCATCTGTGTCAAATGGATGGTAAAAAGACTTGGATGTACCTTCTACAACATTTTCTTTTCCTTGAAAAGAGAGGACACTACTCCAGTCCTAGTTCCATCAATACTTTTTGGAGAAATACAGAGCTGACCCAGCTTATGTAAGAACAAATAGGTTACTATTCGGAGAACCTAAACTATGGCTGAGTAATCTTCCATTTTCATATACTTCATCTACGTTGATGACATATGAGGTCATGTTCCTCCTGTGCTACTTGTTCCATTTTGATTTCTTGCTGTCTCCAAGCAAAGACCTTGAAGTTTGAAACCCTGTCAAAATACTTTTCAAACTCTTGAGTAAGTGATAAACATTGAACATAGATATCCTAAGTGTTTCGATCCAAAAGATGAAATGTACTTAAGAAAAAAACGGACCTGAAAATTTTTCAGTCAACAGCTTACTGTTAACTCTTCTATGATTTCCTATTCCCACCACTCTGAAGAGTACTGGTTCAAGAGAATGTAAACATTCATCTCATTTTCAAATAGAATGCTATGAAATTTTTAAAGACTTCAATGTCTTTACCAAAGGAATGAAACCTTTGGGATTACTACACTTCAAGAAGAACATGGGGAAAGAAATGACTTATGGGAGATTGAGAAACGTATTAGAGAAAGTGTAACTTGGAAAAACTATCTTTCTGAAATGTTTAGGTTAAAAATGATCTCTTTTAATTGGCTACTTGTTTTTAGATTTTTCTTCAAAATACATAAAATATCTCATTTGTTGAACCTGTTTTTTATATACCAGCTTTATAAAGTTAGATGTATTAACAATTAGGACAGACCCAGCTGAAATTTCATGTTTCAAAAAATGTACATAATTTCTGAAGTGTAAGTATCGGTTACATTTTCCCAAGGGAATCTCTGGGTATATAAGAAATTACAGCATCCTTGTTCCGGACTGTTTCACCCATGGGACTTAACTCTATTTCCAAGGTGAGTCACTAAACCAGAGAGGCCTTAAGAGGATTGGTGTCAGCACCTTGCTGTTCTACTCAAATTCAAAGCAGGATGCTGTTGCCTACTTGTCAATACCTCTCACCCAGGAGTCTGACTTAAATAAGAAACCTATTTAAGTAGACAGTGAAACAGTTCTAAATTGCCAATAACTTAGTTAGGTAACGGTAGTGTTCAAACATGAATAAATTTCCTTATTTATGTAAAACTTCCTAGTAAACTTGGCTCTTTCATTACTAATTCTAACATGCAAATTGCCTGTTTTTATCATTGCCTAAAAAAACATTTAAGCAATAGGCTAAAAAAAAAAAGGAAGAGATGTGTGAATCAGATGAGGGATTCTAATTTGAGTTAACTTTTCACAATACAGACATTAGATTTTTGAAAATTCATGCATCACTCTCTCAACCAAAAACTGACACGAGTGCCTAACTTGTCCACTGGTTTCACTGGGAAGCCTTGCCAGACTTGAGTCTAGGATGTGGTCCTTTATACCCGCTTGCAGCACCCTCCCACAGTCAGTTGGCTCGCTTTCAGCCCTTACCCTATGTTTCCAATTGTTTAATTACCCATCTCCCCGACTAGATTGTAAGCTCTAGAAAGACTGGGATGGTGTGTCGTCTTTTTCATCACTGAATCCCCAGTTTCCAATTTACCATATGATGACATTCAGTAAGCACTCAGTAACAAGTATCAAGTGAGTAACTGAGTGACACAGCAATCATGCCATCTAATGAGTAATTCTGCACTAGGCACAGTGCTGCAAAGTTTACACTTACGATATGCTCCTAATTCTCACAATAAAGTCCTATTTTTTCCTAAACAAACTCCTATGCAGACCCAAAGCCAGTTCACTGCCTTACCCAAGGAAACACTGCTGGTTACTAACTAGCAATGCTTTCTTTCTCTTCCTCACTTCCTCTAGAGAGCCTTCTCCAACTACTCCAATCTTAAGTGCTTCTTTCCTCCTACAGAACTCACGGGCTGAACAATCATACAAATAGTAATGGTTACATGTAGTAAGCATTTATAGCCTCAGCATTTCATGTACATTCTTATTTTAGTTTTCCAAATTCTATGAGGAAGGAATAACGACTTCAGTTTACAAGTTTACAATGAGGATACTGAAATATACAAAGATTAAGTAACTTGTCCAGTGGGAAAGTAAGGGAGGGAAGCAGGCCTGGAACCCTGCTCTGTATGGCTCTAGGGACCAGACCACATTCAAGTGCTTTTACTCTAACTTGTGTATTTGTTTTTGTCTCCCAAATCAGACTATAAACATTGTGGGCAGGGGCACAGATACAACTTGTTTCCCTCACACTGTGCCATGCTTGCATGGTGGGCTCACAAAAACGTTTGCTGAGTGACTGAAGGACTGAAGTTAGAGATCGCTTGTTGGAAAAGAACACACTTAAGAAAACACTGCATATGTTTGATTTGAGGTTTGAATTCCCAGGGCAGAGTAGTTTTTAAAAGAACTGCCAGTCTCAACAATCATTATTAACTCTTCACTAAAATTTGAAAACATTTAAATTCTGAGAGGACTACCACTGAATTAATTAGTTAAAATATATAAAACTTTCTTCCCTGACACTACCCTTTATCTTCTTGGAATAAATCTGCCCTCAAAGGGCGGAACTGGCTGGAATTTAAAAGAAAACAGCCTCTGGCAGCTTACGTAGTATAGACTAGGCCCTCAATAAATACTGAACTGTAAGAAATGGAAAGTGTTTTATTTGTCCTTTGGAGAAGTTGTGCTAAAATGATCCAGCCCAACCTTAGAACTAACTACTCAAGGCTTGACTTCACTCTTGTGACATGTGGCAACTGGGTAACCGAACAGATTCATTTCACAGCTCTTATTGGCCAATCATTTCTATATGGAGGGAAGACTGTCATTTCTGAAAACGGCAGCAGAGTTACATTACAGTCTATCAGCTAACACTTTCAAACACTAATCTTTGGAAATACCTTAGTTATGTATTTTTCTTTGTAGGTAGTTAACAGGAAGTGAGGAGAAACCATTAATTAAACAATAAGGAAAACTCTACTTGTAAACCTCATTTAAATGGGTATGTTTATCTGGTCAACCCTATAAAAAAAAATCGGAAGGCTGATCCAATTGAACAAAGAAACCTGGAAAGTAGTAACACCAAAATGGTTGGGAAAACCTTACAGCATCTGCGTACAGGATAATCTCCCATTTCTGAATAATCCCAATAATTATGTTCATTGCAATACTGTATCAGAAAATACTAATTGGGTATGTCAATTAAAAGGAGTACAGAGAAAAGTTAATGAAACGAACTGAGGAATGGTTAAGAACAGTTTACAGAAGAAAATGTCAAGCAAATAAACAAACAGAACAACAGAGTTAGTGGAAAACAATCCTGGGCTAGGATAAAACATTCTTCAAGTACTACAAAAGATGGCTTATTATTATGTGTAAGCTCATTCCCAAGAAAATGTTAAAAGGAAAAAAAAAAGTAAATATATTAAAATTTTTTCAGATTTAGTTTATTAAGGCAAACTGGGAGACCACAGCTCAAAAGATTAACTTGAAGCAAATAAAAACATGTTTTCTAAATGCAGTTTATTGGTTAGTAGGTGAATATAATCCACTCTTAACTTTTTCCCAGTAACTTCAGCAAAGTACAGAACCTGGATATTACAGAGCCAGAGTCTGACAATTTACATGGATAGTTTGGTAGATGCTAACATACACAATTATAAGAAGATAATGAGGACAGAAAACATAGGCCTCAGGACAAAAATTAGTGTTTACGGGGAGAGCATGAACTCCATCTTTCTTTTTCTAAGTACTTATTTCTGCAAATATCAACCTGGTAAAGGATATAAATAATGTAATAAATTTTTATTCCCAATTATCTCAATATTAAGCTGTACTCAATGTTACAATCAAATAATTCTTATAATTTTAAGTTAGAGAATAATATAAGGTATAAATGTGCTTTTAATTTTGGTTAAATTCTTTTAACAGGAAGATGCTGTACACTGTATATCAGAAAGGAAAATTAAAATTTGACTTAAAAGTTTAAACCTCCCTACCTCACATGTAATAGTGTTTTTCATTCATAAGAAACCCTGTCTTTCTCTAGGAGGCACACGTTTTTCTAAGAACTTGTAGAACAGTTTAAATGATTTTTAAATATTTCCCACTTATCACTTAAAATAACAATTGTATTAAGTTCCTGTTTTAACTACCAATTTTTAGAAATCCATTTTATTTTTATCTGACCATAAAAACTGTTCTATTGCAAATGGCTTTAAAAAAAAGGCTGTATGGATTTTAATGTGCTACATCGCACACTCTGAACACAGAAAAAGAATGACATTTTAAAAAATTAGCAATGTTATAGTTTCTTCACAAGATGCATTTTTCATCTATGGCAATTCTCCCAGAGTAAAGTGAATAACCAAAGCAAAGCAACTAGACATCTGGGTCGTAAAGCCGCAGCAAGACATTTTTTTTTGTAAAAAGTTACTTTTCTTTTATTAGTCTGTTAGGATATTTGAATAATGTCTCAATCTATGCAGGCGTCTAAAATCCTCAAAGGGAAGTAGCCCACTGCAGGACAGGGGGGAGCGTCAAGGGCAGACAAGAAAGACAACAGATGGTCTCGGTGCTTTGTGGGCTCGGAAGCTAAGGCGGACTCGTTAGACCCTCCAAACTCCTATTTCACATCGATCGTTAAGGTTCAGCGGAGTTCGGCCGCCAGGCCTGCGAAGGCAAAAGCCGGCAGCGCGAGCGGCCCGCGCCGCCCCCGCCGGAGCGCGCATCCTGCCCCCTGCCCCCGCCTCCAAAAAACAGGGCAGGACCACCCCCAGCCCAGCGCTGCTCCGCCGTTTCTTCTGTCTCGCTCAACAATGACCACTTTCCCCCAGAGGTTAACGGTCAGGGAGTCCGGGGAGCTCCCCGTGGCGCCGCCCGGTGCTCCCCGGCTCCCCGACCCCACCGAAGGCGCCCGCGACCCCCGACCCCCGCCGGGAGGGCCGGTCCTTCCGCGACACCCCCGCCCACCCTCCTGCGTTGGCAAAGGGGCCACACCGCCCGTCCAGGCCGGAGGGGAGGACCTGCCCGGAGCCAGGCCCGAGGCCCCGGGCGCCCCGTCGACCCCGTGGCGCCCGCCCCGGGCCTCAGTCTCCGAGGCCGCCCGGCTCTCCCGGGGCCGGAGGGCGCGTAGGCCGCCGCCATCCCCGGCCTGTCGTGCGCCCGCCGCCCGCGGCCTTACCGCCTCCACGGCGTGCTGCAGGATGGAGGTGAACTTGGAGAACATCCTGTCCCGGGACTGCAGCAGCCTCTCCCGGGACGACCTGGAAAGCTCCTCGATCCGCCGCCGCCGCCGCCCCTGCTGCGGCTGCCGGGGCCGCTCCAGACTGAAGGCCGGTGCGGGCGCGGAGGACGAGCAGAGGGCCGCGGCAGGCCCGGCCCGGCCGCTCCGGGTGTGCGCGGGGCCGCGGCAGCTCCGGCGGGTGCTGGGACCAGGCGGGCGGCGGGGAGGGCGTTCGGCGCGGGCTTCGGGGCCCCGCGACGCTCCGGCGGCTGCGGTCGGACACGGTGGCAGCCGGCGCGGGTTCCTTCCGCCCGCCCTGCCCGCCGCGGCCTGCAGGGGGCGCCGCCGCCGCCCGGGGAGGTCCTGGCCAGGCCGGTCCTGCGGCGGGGCGGCCAGACGCCGCGGGGGCGGGAGGGGCCGCGGCGGCCGGGGCGGCAGCGGGGCCGAGCGCAGGCGCCGCCCTCTCCCGGCCTCGGGGCGCCTCGGACACGGTTAGTCTTACATTTATGGAAGTCAGTCGTTCTCGCACAGTTTGTTTTTCCAGTGTAAGTAACTTGCCGATGTTGTGGGGGAAACGTAGCCTTATTTGTGTGTAGTATTCAAAGGTTCGTCTTCTAGAGGCAGATTGGCAAAACCGGTAAGAAAAAGCGCAGTATGCCTAAGGAAAAAAAGGGACTGTGCATTTAAATGCCAAGAATTAGAACAAATCAGCTAATGCTGGTGAAATGGCTTTGCTACCCGTAAAATATACTGCTGTTTTGAACTATTCAGCATTAAAACAGGAAGCCCAAACGGGCAAATGGTAAGATGGTTCAGTTTATAATTTGTAACATTTTTAGTTAGCTGCAGTGCATTCAGTATAGCATTTTCTGTTCAGTTTATTAGTGATACTGGAAAATATTACTGAGGGGAAGCATCTGAAGAGATTTCTACCAAATGCGTAGAACAGATAAGTGGAGCTACAGTATAAGCACTTGGATGGAGACTTCTTAAAATACTATGCAACAGTGTATTAGTCAAGCCTTGAAGAATCACAATTTGGGCTGGTAAATTTTAGATTGTGTTGATAGAAACTATGAAATCGTGTCCTGGAGAACTTTGTGTTTTTCCCATTATGGTATTTTATCAGAAGGACCGTTAAGTTCTTGATAAGATGAGGGCAGGGTAAGTTTTGCACAACCAGTGATGAAAATATGTATTTGAAATTGAATTAGTCGAACAGAAAAAGGGGAGAAAGGTTATCAGTGGTGCCCAGTGGTGGTAAGAGCCAGTCTCTGCAGCTGCGTGGCCAAAATTTGACCCCCAGTCCTGCCACTCACTGTGGCAAGTTATTTAATCTCCTTGTGCTTTAGCTTCCTATGCTCATCTGTAAAACTGAGAGAATAGTACCTACCTCCTGAGGTTGTGTAGGAATTTATTAATATATTATTAACATGTAAAGTACTTTAACCATGCCCAGCAAGCAATACATAGGCATTTATTATCATTGTTATTATTATTAGTAGTAGTAGTATTTAACAAAATAGTAGGGCCAGAAGTCAAGATTTAAGGAGGAGACTTTAACTACAGATCTTCCTTGACCTACAGTGGAGTTGTGTTCCAACAAATCCATCATAAATTGAAAATATCTTAACTTGAAAATGCATTTAATACACTTAACCTACCAAACATCATAGCTTAGCCTAAGCCTAGCCTATCTGCCTACATTAACACGCAGTTGGGCTAAAGCACATAACAAAACCTATTTTATAATAAAGTGTTGAATATCTCATGTTATTTATTGAATACTGTACTGAAAGTGAAAAACGAATGGTTGCTTCTGCTCACTGTCCTGCTCAGCATCTCGAGAGAGAATCAGACCACGTGTTGCTATCCCTGGAAAATGCCCAAATGTGTGTTGGTGTTGAGCTGTTGTAGTTAAAAAATTGTAAGTCGGGGACTGTCTGTAATCTTTTGTTTTTTTTTTCTCCTGTTTTGTCGCTTGTATTCTTGCATGGCAGATAAATTTAACCTTAGTTTGCTGTGTACTAGCCTCCAGAATGCTGGAGGCAACCTTTGCTGTTTGCTAAAAATGGAAGTGTGCTCCTTACCAAATTCTGGCTAATTGTGTCTACTTCAACCAAGAGTACATAATGTTTATTATTATTATTATTATTATTATTATTATTGTCCATGCAGTTTAAGAGGGTTAGTCATATCATTAACTATAATTATATTCCTGACCTAATTGTCATACATTTATATGGTTTTGTATTTTCATAATGTCTTAGAACCACTAATTGTCTGAGGACATCTGTTTAACACAGGCTTACTTAGACTTGTGTGCATTTGATGATGTCTATCTTTGTATATTTATTATAAATCCAATTGAAACATATGCTTTGCTCTAGATTAATATCAATATTTAGGATGGTGACTCATCTACCTGATACCTACGTTCCAAGACATACAAGGTGGACTAGAATTGTAATTGAGCAGATATCACTTCTTATTCTCATCCTAGAATGCCTATAGTGACACTAAACATCATCATAGCCTTTGCATGGGCAGAATTGGACCCACCTAAACAAAGTGTGATTTGAGAAAGCATAGCTAGAAAAGGCTTCCCTTGGCCTCCAAAACACTTGGACCTGGATGCCTGAAATTCCTCAATTAGTACTTTATTTCTTTATTCCTTTGGCTTAAGCCAAGTAAGAAATTTAGTCCCTGCCAAAATGAAAATACTCTTGGGAGAGATAACACATCAAACTCTGTCATCCATCAAACCTCAGGGAGTGAGTTTGTTAAATTCTTTTCTGAATGAAGTTTAATCAGTAGGGACACAATAATTCATAAAAATGAAACTCACTTGGGATGGAATTGAAGAAAGAAGAAATCAACTTAGATGATACCTTCTTTCAAAGGTTGGCAGACTTCTGGTTAATATATGGATTGAATTTAGCAACATTCCATCCCCAAATGCCACTAAAGTTACAGTAAAGGGATTTCTCAAAGTATAAGCCCAGGATGGCAAACAAATTAAGAAAGGAAAAAGCAAGAAAATTTTGAGAACTGGAAAGTAGCAATAAAGGGGACTAACTGATGTGGTGACAAAGCTGAATCCTAAGGCAAAAATTAAGAAAACCAAGAACCAAAGGGATATATTAATACATTCACAGAACCTCTCAAAGGCTCAGGAATTGGAGGCATTAAGTACCTCTGTAAGTAGAGGTAAAAATGGGGCTGAAAATAGGATGGATTGAAAGTTTATTTAGAATTGAATAGACCCATTCCCACTCCACAAGATTGGCTGACTTTCCCTTTCCCACCCAAGTATACGATTAGAGACTTATTCCTGGAAAGATCAGGGGTTCCATACAAAACAGCAACAGACTCACAGACTCCAAGAAGGGACTAGCGGTTACCAAAGGGGAGGAGTGAGGGAGGGCAGGTGGGGAGGGAGGGAGAAGGGGATTGAAGGGTATTATGATTGGCACACATGGTGTGGGGGGGATCATGGGGAAGACAGTGTAGCACAGAGAAGGCAAATAGTGACTCTGGCATCTTAGTACACTGATGGGCAGTGACGCAATGGGGTATGGGGGAGACTCAAAAACAGGGGTGAATGTAGTAAGCACATTGTTTTTCATGTGAAACCTTCATAAGAATATATATCAATAATACCTTAAAAAAAAAAGATCAGGGGTTCCATACCAGGAGGATGTAGGGAGGGAAGAAGAGGATAAAGTGAAGGTAACATTGTCTGTTGAGACACATGTCACCAAACACTCATTGTCCTTTTGGCCCCCAACATACAGGCATCAGGCTGATCCCCCCAGGAAGAAGACAGGGAGGGTCTTCTTGGAGAATCTGGTTAGTCCAAAAGAAAAGACTTAAAGATTCTGCAGAGGGAACACAGACACTGTAAGTGCAGCTCCGGGTTGATAAGCAGTCCACAGGCCCAGAGCTTCCACTGAGTATTTTCCTCTTAAATAGTATCAGCCTGGGTGGCCCACAATTTGAGGAAAGCTTGTAACATTAATGATAGAGAGCAAGAGAAAAAAAAGACAAAAAAGAAACTTGGAAGAAACAAAGTTGCTTGCATTCAACAGATAGGGAGAGATGGGGAAGAAAATGTCAAAAAAACCACAACACCCTATCATTAAAATTCTCAAAGAAATAAAAGATTTACATCTGTAAAACAAGAATGTATGTATGCTATTTTTAAAAAGCATTTAGAGAACAAAAGAGGAAATCTCAGAAATCAAGAGTCTGATAATAGAAGTAAAAAATCAACATATGAAGGATGAAAAATAAACTTGAAAAAATTTCCCCAAGACTAGAGCAGAAATGATACAGGGATGAAAAACGGGGGGAAAATTTTGATAACCATTATGATGTAAACACTGATCTTTAGTTGACAGTTGAACAATACAGGGGTTAGGGGCAACAACCACCCTGTGCAGTTGAAAATCTGCAAAAATGTAACTTAATAGTCTACTGTTGACTGGAAGCCTTAGTGGTAACAGTTGATTAATACAAGTTTCATATGTTTTATGTTTTATATAATATATTCTTACAGTTAAGTAAGCCAGAGAAAATGTTTTTTCTAGTTGCTGCAAATCCCCCCCAAAATTTTCCAATGCATTTATTGAAAACAATCTTCATATAAGTGTACCCACACTGTTCAAACATATGTTGTTCAAGGGTGAACTGTAATTAAAATTATGGTATTGTTGCAGTTTTTGAGAAGAGAGAAAGAGAAAGAAAATTAAGTCTTCATCATCTATAGTGAGGAAGCATTAGGGTTGCTTAAATCAGAAATATTATGAAGTAACATTATAAGCATATTGTTTAAATAAAGGAAGTAAATAGAAAAAAAAGTTTACTCAAGGTGTTGAAAGAGGTTGCCTCTGTGGAGCAAGAAATTAGGAGTTTTGGAGGACAGACAAGCTTTCATAACAATCCTTGTAAAACCTCTTAACTAAACTAGATGCTGGTGTAACCAGTATGCCCAAAGTTTGTTTTGCAAGGGGTGTAACTAAAGGAAAGAAGCCCATTTTTGGTGCTTTTTTACAAAGTTCAGATAGGAGATTATAAGAGTTAATCACTGTGGAAATAGGAAGGAAATGGTAGACTTGAAAGATGAAACAAGATCAACCAAATTTCACAAATAATTAAATATAAGGAGTGAGGGAGGAGAAGTCAAAGATGTTGCTGGAGTTTCTAGCTTGGATGAGGTAAGGTAAAGATGCCATTAATTGAGATAAGGAATATGGAGGGGGTTTAAAAAAATATGTTAGATGAGATGTGAAGATATCTAGAATGGGGTGATAATTTTGGATTAGGAAGTTGAGAGAGAGAGATGTGGGCAGCAAATGAAGATTTGAGTCATATCTTAAAGGTGGTGATTGAGATACAGGGATAAATGAGATAGTCTAGTGAGATGGTATTATGAAGGAAAAAAAGGCATGGATACAAACCTGAGGACTCCCTGAATTTAAGGATTGGGATAGGCAAGAGGCAATAATTGAAAAGAACAGTCAAAGAGATAGCAAAACTTGGG